AGTAAGATCTGCCACAGTGTGGTTTTCTTAAGTCAGCAAACTAAAATGAAACATTAATACAGAAAAATTTTTAGAAAGAACCTTTAACAGTTACAGTAAATGAGTATTAAAAACCTTTCTCAAATCAGGCAAAAAAAAAAAAAAAAAAAGGCACATGGCCAATATACTAGAGCACATTACCAAAAACTATTTTTCTAAGTGACAAGAAAAAAAAAAAGCTCATAAATACACATATACTAACAAATCTGTCATGCCATGTATGGCTCTGGGATTTTTACCTGTTCAGCCTTTTCAAGCTGGATATTTCCTATTTCTTCTTTTAGAGCCTTTATTTCCTGATTCAAATCCTTGACAATGACAAAACAGACAAAATTGGACAATGGAAACACAGAAATTGACATAAAATGCATGTACAGACAAACACATGAAATTAAATGGTATTCACTAAAGTTGATCAACGAACAACAAAACACAGCTTTCTCATTCCCTGTACCTGAATAGTTTTCTCCTTATTAGCAACTTTGAGAAGTTCAGCTTCTAACAGTTCTTCCACAGTTTTGATCTTTCCATCTTTTTCATGGATGCTTAGATAAAAGAAATGTAGTATTAACTTGAATAGAAATCAGTAAGATACACCAAGTAAGATGTAAAAATAGCACCAAATCATAAATAGGTTCTCCAAAACACTTCCCATTTTAAGTAAAATAGATACATAACTCACAGACAGAAAAGGGGAAGATGAGAATAAAGAGGTTCCTAAATGAGAATTAAGTAATGACTACCAGATGACTGGAATCTAATGCACACTAGAAGAAACTGATGCAATTTTTTAAAAGTACACAGGGAATTTAAGTTTTGTACCCTGAAAGACACCAAGGATCTTTATGTTCATCTCAACAATGCTGGCTACTAGCTCATAAAACTGCGGCAGAACTTACAGTTATAGTATCTAATTTTATAGACATCTTAAGAGGATACATGCAAGGTAATGATCCCTCCAAGCAATGTAACCTGTCCCCTGTCCTTTAATAATCCCTATTGCATAAACAAAAAATTAACAATTCAATTCCTTAAAAAAAAATATACTCAATTATGGAAAGAGAATTTTTTGATCAGTCATCATTTCATTTGGAAAAACATAGCTAAACTCCTCATCCTGTCAATGAAAAATTCTACAATGATGGTTAAAATAACAAAGCCTGTGACAACTGCACAATAAAGCAATGTGTACTAAACAGACCAAAAGTGAAAGACAAGCTTAATACCATTACTTACACTTTCTTAAGTTCTTCAACTACAGATGCAAAAGAAACCTGTAAATAGAGATATACTATTTAGTATCCACTTAAAATCTAAAATGGGTCAGAAATAGCAAAGTGTGTTACCATAAATACTCGACTAACCAAAATTGAAATGGAAAAAGTAAACCTAGGAATTCTTTTTTTTAAATGTCAGAATCTTGAAAGCAAGCAGCTTTAAAGCTATTTATGTAAATGCAGGTCAAAAGAAAAATCAACATACAGACATTAAATTATTGAATCCTAACTAATAAAGAAAAAATAATTACCAGAAAAATGCCTCTTTTAAGGTACCTCTCTTACCTTAGTCTAAGTTTATATTATCTGCACGCACAAAACCTTTTATCACTGTAGTAAGATGCAAAGATATCTAAAATACTCTATATTCAGTGCTGGCAGTCAGCACTCAGTAAATCACAGCTTCTATCACAGTGGTACCAATTCACTAGACACTCAAGAATTAAAAGTGTAATTGACAAATTCTACTTTGGAGAAGGGAAGAACAGACAAAACAACAAACATAATTTCAAATATACTAGGTTTCAAATATACTGTTTAAAAGAGAATGGGTGCAAGATCTACCAATTACCTGATCATTTTGCTTAGCCTTTAAGTCTTGAACTTCTTTTGTTAGAGATGAATTTTCAGTTCGTATTGCCTTTTAAAAAACCATACAAGCAAAATATTTGTATTTTCACAAAATATAGTTCTCTTCAAAACAGTTATATTCTCTTTTTAGCTTCTTTCCTTTCCTCTTTGCAAGGCCCAGAAATTTTACTTGTTCCATATGTCTACAATTCTGTTACTTATATAGCAAGTCAAATGAATTGTTGACTTAATCATCCCAAGAATTTCTACTTCCACAACTTCAAAACCATTTCTCTCCCTAAATTCAAATTAATCTTTTAACTAATTTCTTCCAGCAGCTGTATCTTAGTGAAGTTTGTTACAGCTAGAGAAAATCATACAATAGAACTGCAGTATCTCCTTTCTCTGGCTTCCAATACTATTTCAAGAACTTAAGAAGCATGTTAGTTACCATCCATTTGTAACTGTGCATGGATGGGGAAGCATACATTACAAACCTTAACCATAGATTATCTACATCATTAAAGCATGCATCATTTTTTTTTGTCTTTCTAATAAAACCTTAAGCATGAAAAGAGACAAATTCACAAAATGTGAGTAAATAATACTAAGTTTAAAAATTATGAGGAAAATACAAATTTTAGTAAAACCCTTTCATGTTCACTGAATAAACAAACAAACACAGGAAAAATAAATCTACAAAATGCTTTTACATTTAGTTCCTCCTCTTTAGTGGCCACCTGAATAAGTCCAGTTTCAAGCAATTCTTCCACAGTCTTCAACTTCTCATCTTTTTCTTGAATGCTAAAATTATAAATTTATGAAACATTTTTCAACATCAACGACAACATTTCTAGACATTTAAATGGATCAACTCCTGAAATGGACACATTTCTCTTACAAACTCTTAATTCTAGGAAGGTTTCTACAGATAGTTGACCATGGGTCAAGGGTACTTCCTCTTTACCAATGTGAATGTAAACTGAATTCAAGTAATTCATGTCTACATGTCAGCCTAACCAAATAAATCAGTCCCAAACGACCTCCACAAACCTAAAGCAGTGCCAAATCAAAACCATCAATGGCATACTATCCTCTTAAGTCATGAAATATAGAGAATTAAGAATTTAGATCAATGTAGTTTAATAATTCTGTCATCTAAAATGAAGTAAAATTAAACTATTGTAATAAAAAATTTTTGTCATCTATAAATTAGCTGAAACATTACAGTTTTTAAAAAAGAAAATCTTAAACCCTTACCATTTTTCCATTTGTTCCACAACATCTTTATTAGGCTAAAATAAAAACCACAAAAAAAAAAGGCTTAATTTTACCAATTTTCCACTAGGCAAACTAGTTTATAAATAAAAATCTATGAAAATTCTTTAATTAGATACAAAATGTAGACAGATGATCCACATTTGAAGAATGTTAATAATTAAAGAATCACTGAACTCAAAACAAGAGAAGCTGCCACACAAAAGAACAGAAAAATTGACTAGCAAAATGAATGAGTACCTTATGATTACTGTTTTCATAATGACAGAAGAAAAATTTTAAAGTAAAAAAATTAGTCTTATTATTTCATATTAATTCAGTTCTTCAAAGTTAAACTCTAAGACGCCCAGATCTTCCTTCATTTTTCCCTTTTATAAACTTTTTATAAACTAAAGTATAATATGTAAATAGTTAAGTGCACAAATACTATGTACAACTAAATGAGTTTTTAACACATAACTATTAAGAAGACCAAGACTGGAAATTGAAGAAGCAACACTTCACATTCTCCTTGTAAAGCTGTAAAACACAAAATGTTAGCCAATCCCCATTTTTAACCACACCCCTCTGAGAATCCCCAAACAAATACACACAAACGTACCCACTATTATAATTTATTATATGTTCAGAAACAGGGTATTCTCCGTTTCATTGCCAAATCAAAATCTTAAGATTCTAGTTCTTAGATATTTCTAAAATTAATCCCATCTTTTCATCTTTAGTCAGTGTTCTCAAATATCACAATAACCTAATTCTTCTCTTACACCTTTTGTCTAGGATAATTTTGTGAAGAATTCTCCAATGGGAAAAATATTTCAAACCATCAGAAAGTAGATTTAATGTATTTTGAATCAGGTTTCTTTTTAAATGAGAAATATCATGCAGAAAACTTTAAAATTGTTCACTGAGATAGTTTTTGTCCTTTATTTTCTGATGATTGCCACCTCACACAAAGACTTAACACTAAATTCAACTTACCTGTACTTTCATCATTTAATAACTACTTCTTCCCCACATAAATTAAAACATCTCATCATTACCAGAATGGTCTTTTCAAAAATGTAAGACAAAATGATTATTCATTCATCCTTGCAACACTCTTCAAAGGCTTATCTGTATGATAGATCAAGTTCATGGTTCTTACAGAACATACAAAGTCCTTCAATGAATATGCCCTAACAAATCCTTCTATATTCCTTATACTATATGATTTGCAGTACTACTAATATACTGATTTTGCCACATATGCTAATGACCTTTAACACTGTATTCCTCAGCCTGGATTGTTCCTTAACTGTCTGGCAAGTTCACGGTCATTTTTCAAAACCAGGTTTGAAGGGGAGACAAGAACCAAGCATCATTCATCTCTCTAGTCTCAGCATATAGCATAGTATTAGCATATATTCAAATTGTAAAGTTTCCTTTAACAAAGTTACAATCTTACAAATATTCTTCTTCAAATGCTCAGGGATTATCTTCAACTGAACAAAACTGACCCAACCTAGCAGGTAGTTAACAGTTTTTTTTACTCTAAATCTGTGTTATTGGTCTAACCTAGTCCTACTTTTTTCTAATGGCTGATTTTCAAAACCATACCTCATAATAATAATTTTCCTATAATATAATGTCAGACAGCAAGGCAAAAAAAAAAAGTCCTAGTCCTGTGGTTATTAGTTATTATTAATGGTGTGGTTATTAATAATACTGATAAATGACTCATAAAAATCAAGAGTAAATAATTATTCTGTCATTGGATTAAAAAGTCAAGATAATAAAATAGGAAACTTTAGAACACTCCCCCCCAATAAAGTCTTATTTTATTGTGACTAAATAAGATCTTTGTAACACATTCATATTTACACCATCTATCCACAGGCCTACACCAAATGAAGCCTTCCCTCCAGTGTATAAATAGGTTACATTACCTGATGTTTGCTATTTTTCTGCTTCCTACACCTGAAGAAACAACAACTTGGTACCATTTTTGATTTCTGTTTCAGCTAGCTCAATATTTTCCTCCAGGATAAAAATCCATGGGGCAAAAGAACTAGATTTTTTTACATAACTAAACTGTTCATCTTTCAACTGTCACTTGGAATTCTGGCTGCTGGCTAAGAAGGGGTTAAAGAAAAGTGGATATGAAAGAAACCAAAATTATACTAATCTTTATCTCTTCTTTCACTAACAATGAAAATGATCAGAGAAAAAAATCATTAAGATGGTTCTTTGGCCTACTTAGATAAGCAAGACTCACAACTACAACTGAAACTTAAAATCACTAGAACAATTTTTCAGAACAAGAAAAATTCTAAGAATTATCAAATAGAAAATTGTTAATGAATGAACAAAATTAATTCCTGTCTTACCAATAATTCTTTTAAGTCAATCAAAAAATATGGCTATAAAATTTTGTTCAATTAACTTTTTTCTTTAAGATTTTATCTAGTTATGCATATAAGAACTGGGGTATAGACTAGAGTTATGGGGTGGGGGCAGTGAAAGGATTCACCTGAGACTGATTGGGGAGTAGAATAGGCCAGTCAACTGAAATACACTACTGAGGGGAGCAGCAGAGAGACATGAGAAGTCTGCTGTGCTATTTGGGCTAGCTGCCTGGCCAGGGATCAAACTCATGCCACAGTGGCTTGTTATTAACTTGATAGCACTGCAATTTTAACATTTGCACCAACAGGGAAGCTCTCAGTTAAATGTTCTTCATAAAACTATTCTTCATTTTAAGAAAAATACCGGATGGTTTCACTCATGGCAGGAGTATAATAGACCAGGTGAGAAAATAACAAAAATAATGAACAACCATATACCAGACATTCTGTGAGGGTGGAGTGGGGAATGGGATCAAAAAGGGGGGGGGGGGAATGCACAGGACTATGGTGGTGGCACAGGGGTGATTTGGTGATGGGAAACCCGCGGGGATTACAATCGAAATGGAAAAAAAAAATGTGCAAAATGATGTAAAAATAAACTTTGTAATAAATAAAAAAAAAAAACTATTCTTCACTTTAATCTGTGATATAACAGATAGCTTCTGTTCTCCATAAAGAAAAACCTATTCCTCGTGTTTGAAAAATCCATTTCATGATAAAAAACTGTTTTAACAGAATGTCTAAAAGTACACAGAACCTTATAGTAAATATTGATAGAAGGCTTACTCAGTAATTATCAGAGGACTTTTAAGAATATGATAGTATATTAAATGTGATGGGGAATTTTATTCTAACAGCAATCTTTAGGACATCATCATCAGTAAGACAATTTAAGGTTACTGGTTTTACTCATGTTTAATGATGGAGGATACCATTTCTAACACAGAACGAAAGTAAAATATTTTTAAAGATTCAAGCTTTTGTTAAAACCTAAATATTAGAGTTACCAGCACCTTTAATACTGTAATTCTAGGATTCAGAGAGAGATTTTTAGGCACTTAACCTCTAAGTTAATTTTAGAAAGTTTAAAACTACATTTTGAAATGTAAGTTTCCGAATCTCTGAAAAATAATTTTTCAAAAATTACATTCTTCTATTCTGGTTGAGAACACAACAAAAATATTTAGGTTGCCAATGCTGCATCTCACAACTGATATTTTAAATTAAAGCTGAAAATTAAAAATGCTGATAATTAAAACTGTAACCAGAGACTGTTAGGATACATCCAGACTTCAGAGATGAGTCCGTTGAGGAAAAAGGACAAAAAATCTCAGAATTGATGAAATATCAGACATCATCTAAGGTATATCATAACAAAGGAAAATAATGAGATTTATGAGTAAGACAAATACTATTTGACAAATACTACTTTACAAGTTGAATGGTATGAAATCATGTCCTTACACTAAATACCATCCTTTTGACATTTTCCCTTATTACTTTTAATTTGTAAGAGTAAAGCATAATAAACTAAAGATTATACAGGGCCTTCCCTGGTGGCACAACACATTAAAGCACAGCAGGATGAGGCAATCCACCGCAGAATGAGTTCGATTCCCAGCCAGGGAGGTAACCCACATGGCAAAGCAGACCTCTCCTGACCTGCCTGCTGCTCCCTGTTCTGTCTCTGGTGAATCCTCTCTCATCCCCTGCACCTCTGATCGGTACCCCAGTTCTTGTATGCATAGTTAAATCTTTAAAAAAATAAATAAAGACTATGCAAAGAACTTATTAAGTTAGCAGTGAGAGAATATATAATTTCTTGATAAATTAACAAAATACTTTTAAAAGCATACCTAACTCATACTATTCAATACCTGTAAAAATGTGAATTTTAAATAAAAGAGAATGCCTTCATCTGCTAAACAAAATGTTATCATACTGTATTCTAAAATTTAACAGTGTAAGAAAAACATACAAACTTCCATAGTATCATCTAATATCATTTCTAGAATATCTTTAAAAAACAAAATTTGAAGGGCTATACATAGGAGTATAAAAGTAACAGTTAAGGGCCCTCCCTGGTGGCGCAGCGGGTTAAAGCACAGCACAAAGAACTTAAACCATTTCCGCTGAGTTCGATCCCTGCCTGCCCCGGAGGTGACCACATGGTGCGGCAGACCTCTCCTGACCCGCCCTCAGCAGTGTACTTCGTCAATCTGCCTGTTCTGTACCCCACTCTGTCTCTGGTGAATCCTCTCACCCTCCGCATCTCTGGCTTGTATCCCAGTTCTGTACGAATAAATAAATCTTTAAAAAAAAAAAAAAAAAGAATAGTCATAGAAGGACTTCACCTGAGGTTCTAGTACATGGGATCAGCTTATTCATTTTACTATAGTTTTATGATTTTCTCTAAATACAGAAAAAGATTCATGGCAGAAGGGATGAGATGGGGAAAAATATATTCTAAAGGAAAGCAAGTAAGCACTCAGATGCCTACTTTATGCAAATCATTAGCTTAAGTACTATACATAAGCTTCCCTCACTTAAATCTAACAGTTCATAAACTAAGTATTATCTCAAAGTTGAAAGAATTAAATTGAGAAATCTAAGATAGGTTATGTGATGTGAACAATTTCACTCAGCTTTTAAATGCTGGTAGTATGTTTCAGACTCATTCTACTGAATGAGAGAAGTGAGCCTCAAAAGTCTACAGACTTTTCTTCTGAGAGGCAATTGTATCAAATACTTAAATTTTTTTATGATTTCATTATATTTTTTGTTGTGGAAAGTACAGGTTGGCATTAGTTTCCTCTCAGAGAAGAAAAATTACACTTTCCTTAGATATCTGAAAAGCACGTAATAAGTAGAAATGCATTTAAAAGACATTTAAGTACAATTTCTCAAAAATTATAATTGGTTACTATTCAAGAATCAGATCTTATTATATATTAGAAATTTCTACCATATAATTCATGAAACCTTACCTGTTCAGAAACAAGAATCTGTAGCTTCTGAACTTCTAATTGCAATTCTTTGTTTTGTTCATTTAAAATCTGGAAGAAAGAACATCAATTAATTTTTCTATTAAGAAATGGTAGCAGTGCAATTATTTGGGTGGGAATTTGATAAATCAAATCCATACTATTGCTTTAAGTACTCATAACATGACAGGTAAATTATATATTTGACTTAAGAATGAAAATCTCAAGTGACTTTACTTTCCATAATTTCAATGAATGTATTTCCAGAATATAGGTTTGCAGTATTAGTGTTTAAGATTATTGTACAATGATCTCTAAAACCATAGTTTCTACCGAGCCCCCTAATTCAGTCTTAAGGTTTATCTCAAAACAGAGTTAACACTGTGCTTGGAACTACTTCATATGATTTTCCAAATAGTTTTTGCTAATGCATTCTGGGAAACCTTGAGTTTATAAGAAAATACAGGATTCCCATTCAAGAAACGGAGATACAATTTTTTTTTTTTTTACCTATAGACTTTGCACCCTGACTACATGATTACCAGAAAATACTCAGGTTGTTTGTCCATGACGACAAACAAGCACTGCACAAACAGAGGAGACAGATTAAAAACAACACATCGTATACTGTCAACTAAAAACAGTGGAGAAAGGCTGTGGCAAAATAACTCTCAAAAGCTTATCAGAAGAACAGACAAGGCAAATCTAAGTAATAAGCCTACAATAAAATTCATGCAATCCCCCAGATAAACTACAAGAACACTGTTTAAGAAAGAGTACATACAACTATTATTTGTACATTTGCTTCAACTATACAAGGATGTCCTAAGAAAGCTAAATTGACAAGTTCACATACCTTAAATTCATCCATTTTGTTTGAAATTTCACACTGTAGCTGCTCTTCAAGCAACCTTATTTTATCATCCTTAACATGAACACTATGAAGGGAAAAATCAATTAAAATACTTCACATATTTAGAAAGTTTACATAAATCAGTGCACAACTGTCAGTTATAAACAACACCACACTCTGCAATAATATTAAAATATTAAAACATAAATATATAATTGGATCTATGTACAGCAATGTTTTAATTACCTTTTTTGCATTTTCTCTAGTTCATGTGCAGCAGCAGCCTGTATTTGAAATCAGGTGAAAATTATATCTCAGGAAGCATTCAAAACTACTTTCACTTATTTTAACATATTAAAGTTATATTTTCATATATATGGAATAAAGTTAAAGCAGCAGCATACATTTCTGACAACCCAGTCTGTAGAGACTATGGCAGATGCTATTGTGACCACTGGATTTAGTCTGGTACATTCTGAACTCTGTTTCTTTCCTTCTGTCCAACCTTCTCACTTGTGTTCTTTGCCAGGAGGTACTTTTGATTTGTTCTCCTGGTGTATTTGCTTTTATGACTGTTGACTGGGCTTTTGCCTAGGAGGGTAAGGGCAATTTCAGAGTTTGACAGGGATTTGTGTTTTTAAATCCTTCTCTCTTCTACCACTCTGTCTCTATTCCCTTTAAACTTCTTACTGATTAAAATTAAAAATAAAAAACCAGAGTTTGACTACTTTGCTTTTATGTATGTAGGGGGCATGAGCACCAGAGAGGGCAAAGAAGGGTTAACACTCGTAACAGTTTGGGGTCTTTGGACACACCCCCTGGTTCTGCCCAGTACAGTTTCAACATGAAAATGGTAACATCTATATGGGTTTTAAGAGTCAAATAGAAGAGATTTTTTTCCAACAACATACCATGCAGTAAACACAAATAACTATTATATTTACTATTTATAAGAATAAAATTTAGGGCATGCAATACCAATGAAAATAAATATAAACAAACTAAAGTTCTAAGGAAAATGCTCAAAAATAGCTACCTGCTCATTTGCAAGGGCCTGTAACTTTTGCACTTCAGCTTTTAATAAGAAATTCATATTCTGTATATCCTATAACAAGAAAAAAACAGTATTAGAAATATTTTAAAAATAACTGACTCTGGGCCCTCCCTGGTGGCGCAGCGGGTTAAAGCACAGCACTGTGAAGCTAACGCCACTTCCACATGAGTTCGATTCCCGCCTGTCCGGGAGGTGACCACATGGGGTGGCAGACCTCTCCTGAAATGCCCGCTGCTCCCCTCAGCAGTGTACTTCGTCAATCTGCCTATTCTGCTCCCTTCTCTGTCTCTGGTGAATCCTTTCACCCTCCACATCTCTGGCCTGTACCCCAGTTCCATATATAAATAAATCTTAAAAATAAAAAATAAAAAATAACTGAGTGTGTAAAGCACACTTCTACCTAAGCAAAGGACTCAAATTACAGTTATCTTAAATAAGATAAATAAATTATCAATTCCTGTTTTTGGTACATTCCCCAAATTATTGTGAATTATATCATGGAGAAAGAAAAACCTTTTGAGTTTTCCTCTTCAAGAGCTAGAGAGGACTCTGTATCGAAAACAGACAAGTTCGGGGCCCTCCCTGGCAGCACAATGGGTTAGGATGAAGCACTGCAAACTAACCAGTGCGAGTTTGATCCCTGGCCTGGAGGTGATCCACATGGAGTGGCAGGCTTCTCCTGACCTTCCCACTGCTCCCCTCAGTAGTGTAATTTGTCAATCTGCCTGTTTTGCTCCCCTCTCTGTCTGGTGAATCCACTCAGCGCCCCTGCTCCTCTGGTTAGTACCCCAGTTCTGTATGCATAAATAAATAAATCTTTAAAAAAATAATAAAATAAAAAGTCCACTGACTCTTAGTGGGCTTCCCATCTTAAAAAAAAAGACACTTTCCAAATGACTTCTAGAGTATTTTCCATTTTTTATATTCATTTGTACTGACTACTAGATCAGTGTAATTCCACTTCTATAACATACTACAGTCATTTATAAGAATTACTGTACCTTAAGTTCCTCCTCTTTACTTGCTAAATGATCATGTTCATTTGCTAAAGAATCTTCAGTCTGCTTTATCTGCTTATCCTTTTCTGCAATCCTTCAATAGGAAATATATTTTGTACATTCAATAAACATTTATAACTCAAGTCAGAAATCAAAAAATTAAGCCTTAAATGTGTTTATCCTTACTCTCATATAACTATACCTTTCATTCCTGTAGACCTTTCAGTTTAATAGTGTCAAAAGCATTACAACTGTTTGAAAAACATACTCCTATTTCAAAACTCTAGTCAAAGGTAATTTTTTAATGCTCTAAAATAAATATAAATTATTCCCCAAGGCTGGCAATGTTAATACCAGATTTCAGGTCTTCTGAATTCTAATAAGCCATATCTATTCAAGTTACATAATACACACACACACACAGAGAAAACAACTTTGTTTCGGGCATTCTACCATATAGTTCAAGTAGCTACAATTACTTATTAGGCACAAAAACTAATATATTTCCCCTGAGATGCCAAATCAGTGATCTCTTCCACATAACTTCTATAGTCCAAATAAAAGAGTTTTCCCAAACTCTTTGTACAATAAAGACATTAAACACAATATTACACAGGTTGTGTAATATTTAACACTCAAGTCACTGAGTAGGGACAGGGGATAAAAGATAACAAAAGTTTCTCAAAATGGCCTATAGAGTCTTTTTTGAACAAGTTAAGAGTATGACATGACAATGGTGTTGTATCTGACAAGTATCAGTAATGATAACTTGGAAAGTATAGAAAGGAAAGCTTACACTTTATGTAATTCTTCTGCTAGAACTGAAGCGGAAGTCTAAGAAAGAAAAACAGTGTCAACATAAAAGAAAGTTAATTAGTTGTATAACAGTCACCACAACAGATTTAAAAATTAAAAAAGAAATGAATGTATATAAAGTTAAGAGAGTATCTAGCCCATGAATAATCATTTAATGTAACTACTTTTATTCTGAAAGCAAGTTTAATCACTAATAGCCAGTATTTGGGAATTCCAAAAGCCATTTCAAGTAAAACAAATTTAGAGGTCTGGAAACTATATCTAATAAGCAACAAATACACAGGAATAATAGACACAAAAGTCACTTTCATCTCTGTTCTGCACTTCCTTAGTAACAGTTCTAGTAACAAAATAGCTAATGATTACAAGAAAAGTCATTTGGTAAAATTCACTCTCATCTTTAATTTTTAAAAGGTACTTAAAATATTCTCTGAGTATTAATTACAAGTTTGGTACAGTTATAATTCAGCTGATAAAACTTAAGATCGCAATCTAATTTGAGTTAATTTACATATACATATAAACCCATATATACAATAATACGCTTTCCTACATTTAATATTTCTGTGCTCATTAATTTTGGGCTATGGTTTCTACAAAGAAAGCAATTAGGACAAAAATGTTTAAAATCTGAATGTTTTGAGAGTTTGAACTTACCTGAACCTTAAAAGTAGTTTTTAATGTTAAAACTGCATTTTAAACAGAAAAGTCAGACTACTTCTACTATTTATAATTTTAAGGTTAAAGAACTGAAATTCACAGAATGGAAACAAGTACTGTAAGTTTTTATTTTTCTTCTTAATGATTTATTATTTATATTCCAAAGGTTGTAGGTATCACATTACATAATTACATATTCCCAAAGAATAATAGATCTTACAATTACACCTGCAAAACTTTGGAAGCTGGGTCCTCCCTGGTGGTGCAGCAAGTTAAACGAAGCTAAAGCCACTTCAGCAAGTGTTCGTTTACTGACCAGTGAGGTGACCCACATGGCAGGACAGACCTCTCCTGACCAGCCAACTGCTCCCCTCAGCAGTGTAATTTTTAATTTTTCAACTAGCCTGTTCTGTTCTCCAACTCTCTCTGATTAATCTTCTCACTGCCCCTGCACCTCTGACCCCAGTTCAGTATGCATAAATAAATAAATCTTTAAAAAAAAAAAAAAACAACAACCTTGGAAGCTTCGCCCAAAACCCACCAAACTGAAATAGAGATACTAAAATGATTCTTTTGCATATTTAATCTGAGCACTATGTTTTATATATTGCCACCACCTGAAGGTATATAAGCCTTTACATAATTGCTAGTCAATATATAATTAACAATTTTAATACGTACACCACTACTGTGGACACCATTTGGTCAAATTCTCATTTATTATAACAAAATTGTGGTATTATTTATTCCCATGGTAAAACTCTCTAATCCACCTCCCAAATACTACACTGAGTTTTCCTTCTCCGTGTTTCCCACAGCACTATAAAGAGTAATCAGAGTACTTAGCACTCAGGATCATCTTTGTTGATTCACTGATGAGTCTCCCAAATACTAATTCAGTGCTCAGCACTCAACAGGCACTTAGATGGTTACTTAAATGGCTAGGAAGCTATTAGCAATGATGAATGATCAGGAAACACCATTACCTGAACTGCTATCTGGGAATGGAATTGCTGAATTTGAGCTTTCAAAGCCTCGTTCTGCTCCAAAATATCCTTTCATAAAAAGCAATCAAAAAGGAGGAAAAATTGTGCTGTTAACAAATATATATAAACCAAATGAGTCATATCTGTTTATATTAGAAAGGCATTCTTTTATTTTCTGTATTTAGAAAAAGCATCATTTTAAACAATACTCGGCATTCTACCCTGACAGTTAATTTATAATGTAAAAAGTATATTGTGCTGTACCTAAATGTATAAAATACACAAGACTGGGCAAAGATATCTTCAAGCACGAACTCAAATACATCCTACTGTGACAACTGCTCAACAACTGAGTTGTAATTACTTATCATTACTCCACAATTAGGATAATGTAGACTTCCCTCTCTATTCTATACAAACATATCCAAACAAAATTTTAATTTTTAAGAGGCATAGATACCTGGACTTGCATTTGCAGAGATTCTTCTTTGTTCACCCTTTTTTGCTCTGATTCCATTAACTGCATTAGTCTTTGTTCCAACTGTTGTTTTGATACCAAGGTATCAGTAAGCTTACTATGCAGACTTTGCACTTCATTTTCTTTGGCCACAAATTTACTCTGTAAATCTGCAACAAAAATTGCATTTTACATTGTCTCTCCCTTTGTCTGGTTCACTATTACTTATATCAAGTGTGGGCATTATAGATCTTAAAAAGTCCTCCTATTAGCTCTTCTCTGCTTCCCTTCCAGAATGTTCCCTGAGCAGTCTAAGTTTACCTTTATCACAGCACTAACTCTTCTGGTACTAATTCATCTCCTCACAAAGAAAGGGGGGAATTTTTGAAATAATTGACTACCTTTTCTCTATGTCCAGAGTTAATATCCAAGGCACAACACAAAGTATATAATAAATTTGTGAAATGAATGGTATATGGATATTTAAAACTCTTACATCATTCTTGAAAGCTTTATTTCACCAAAAATATTCTATAAAGGGAATTTCTTGTTAATTCTCTATACTATCCTTACTGAAAAACAGAGAACGATGCTGAAGGATGACAAATGTCCTCATTTAAAGATGAAGTATAACTTTCCTAGCATGACCCCAAATAACAAACAAAATGAAAAACCAACACAAACTATTGTTGATGCAAACAGAAAACAAATGTAATTAAAAACAAGAAATAAAGTGAAAGGAGGATAACCACTAACTTGGTCACAGAAGAGGAATATGAAATTTTTTTAAGAAAACTAGAAAAGCTCAGGAGGCTGAAACACTAGGTATTATGAGAGCTGCCCCTCCTAAACCTATGAAGTAAGTAAGTCCAAATCCAGCAAGGATAGACATACATTGCAGGGAAAAAGAGAAAATATGTACGCATGGGTGTTTGCATATACACTTATGTGGTTATTTCTGATAATTTTTTAAAAAGTAAGATGTTACTTCCCTACAATGTAACAACAGAATGTAACACATTAATAGATGAATATAGTAGAGATAACAGAACTAGGACTATTAGTTCAAAAAAACTTCTGAAAATTAAACACAGAATGACCATATCCAGGACTGCAACTCATAAGAGCATATTTCTTACTCAAAACAGTAAGTTTAAACACTGAATTAATAATACCTTCTTCTACAGGGAAAACTTACATACAATCTAAAACCATCTGAACTACTGATTAAACATCAAGACAGAAAGAATAAAGATTATTTTCAAATACACAGGTCCTCAAGAAGGTACGTTAAGGCATAGCTCATGAAACAATTAGAAGATATTTATAAAATGAAGGGGAAAAGCAATAAACATGGTGGTAAAATAGGACCTAATATACAGGTGGAGAGACGAAACAAAGTCTCAGGAAGACAGCTATGCTGTCAACCAAGAAAACAACTATTAGAACAGGAAAACAAAGTCTCCAGAAGAGATATTCCCAGAAAGATCTAAGAATCTAACAAAATCCCTAGTATCTAATATATTGAGATGATGAGGAAGGAAGGAGGGTTAAGGAGAGTTCAGCCGCAGGTAAAATTTTAAACAAATGTAAGTTAAAATAACGAAGCAATTATTAGCACGAGGAGTTTTTGTTTAAGAATTATTTTTAAGAATGGCAGTTTTAATATTTACCCTGGCTCAGTATAGTTACACACATCAATGAAATAAACAATGTTGACATAATGAATGTTCATAATCATATAGGGAGAATGTGAGAAAAGTGGGACTAGTACAGGAGTGTGAAGCTCTCTTTTTTTGTAATAGGAAAAAAAAATCAATAGATGTGACCCTGATCAGATTAAGGTTTTATTGTTTATAGTTACATAGTATGCACATAGAGTTTACAAGAATTAACTCTTGGGAAAATCTGTGTACACTTCGTTGATGAAATATTAATTTTAAAATAAGCTCCACATATTAAAATAAATACAAACTATACACACAAGCTTAATATATAAAAAAAGCCTCCAACATGTTGGGCAATAAAGCCAGGCTAACCTAAGAATGGTGGGCAAGGGATGGTCACTGGAGTAGATATGATACATGCACTGCCCTTTTCTAACCAAGGCTATAAAGAGTCTGGTGTGCAGGAAGCAGCTGTGGCATTAGTGGAGGAGAGAAACTCACAGATACCAACCTACTAAGAACTATCTGAGCTACCTGACAGTACTCGAATCTCTTTTTGAAACTAACATAATGAAAATTGAATTTCAAAGACTGGCTACTGCACAAACAATTGAATTGTTCGGTATAAAATGATGTGAACTTCTAGCCCCCTTTTCAGGATAGAAAATTCTATCACTGTATGGCAAAAATGTATAAAAGATTCTGTGGCCCAGTTAAATCATCTGAATCTATATAGTTATGGAATTAAGGTCACATCATGGATACAATACCTAAAAAGTATATAATGTAAACCTAGTTCATATGATAGAACACACAGAGAAAGAGCTCCAGAAGTTAAGGAAATATACTCAATTTAACCTGGAAATGAAAAATCACATGACTCAGAACTATATGTGCTTTAAAAGTCAGATGGTATCCCTGATCAATAAGAATTATGAGATTACAACCATATACTTAGAAAATAGTTTTTCAAATGAAAACAGCAATAAGGAGAGGCAAACAAACAGCTGGCATGATTTCTGAAAAGACAGGTTTTTGGTGAGTAAAAAGGAAGGCAAGATCAGGCATCTGAACTCTGAAAGAACACCATCTTATTAGAGATCACATGGTTAAATATTTAGAAACCATAGGATGTGATTTATATATTTTATATTTATATAACTTGCCATCTATACATCTAACCCATGGGTTTTTTTTTTTTACCAAATAAAAAAAAATTTCAACTTGAAATAAAGATACTGGGTATGTTTACACTGAATCCAAAGGGGAAAAAAGTAAAATTCAGAGGGAAGCAAATGCCTCAAGAGTCAAAATTCTGAGCAATCAAGCCTACTGCTTCAAACCATATTTACTAGTTTATTACTTCTTCAATAGGTTAAAGGGAATAGTGTAGATATATGTAATACAAATTCTGTTATCTCCACTATATTCATCAAATTGAGAATGGGTAGTCAAAGTTATCCTTTAAATAGGCAATCGTAAGTCAACTATATTATACTCATGGTTGCCACTTTTCTTCTTCACAACACTAGAAATGAGTCTTTCCTTAGAACAAAAAAACGAGTTTATCAAGGAACCAAAAAGGAAACAACTACAGAAATACACAGTTAAGCTTTCCACTGCAGGATTATGGACAACAACTTAATGCTTCAGAAAACACTAGTTTATAGACTGTTTTCAAAATGCTAAGAAAAAAGGGTACTGTGAAATTGCAATACTATTTTTATTGAAATATAACCAAACTGCCAAATCAATCTTTCTTCACATATGGAAAGGGGCAATTTCACTCAGAACTATACACATGAATACCTCTTCCTCCTACCTTGCTGTGCTGCCTCATGCTCTGCAGTTCTCTTCCTGATATAGCTCTGAACTTCTTCCCACCTTCTCTCAGCTTCTTGTAGTTGAACCTAGAGAAGAATAGGTCAGCAAAAACATAAGGTGTCAATTTAAAAACAGCATTCTCTCTCTTTACTTTTGGATCATAAAATTGCTACCAGCTAGGTAGACATGCCCAAACTGAGAAATATGAATAGATTTTACCAACCACACAGTCTTTCTACCCTCAAGTACCCAGAATTCACTGATTTATGTATTTCTGAAATTCAGTATTTGGTTATTGGCTCAGTATTGCTACTACTATCTACACATCTAATCCATCCAGCTATGGTCTGTCTTCCATTCATTTTCTTTCACCTGCTAGATTTTCAAAAGACAGGATGTTATCTTTATCGACAGAAGTCAGGTACCAAACATTATTTTGTAGTACAGCACAGTCCTTAGTGTCATTTATCTATATCCATAGAGAACTTCCATGTTTATAAATGCCAGCTGTAAAGTGACCTCATAAAACAAATATTCCTGTGGGTTCTCCCACAGGAACCTAATAATATAAAAATTATAGTTTTCCACACTCAATTATTCTCAAAGTCCTTTAAGTACCTGGTACTCTGGAACTGGTATCAAGATATGATTTTATCAATGACCTAGATAAGAATATCTAACACATTTAACTTATATGAACTGAAGCCTTCCCAATAAAAGGAAAAACAGTAATTCTACTCATATGTACATACTGAAATGCATAAGAGAATCGATCTACTTCTCTCAATTGGCCTAAGCAATTCCATGCATTTTTTTCACAGTATGGACAAATGGTACCAAGTACCATTCAGTGTCAAGAATAATGTGTTATTTTGTGTAAATAGCTGAAGTGAAAGCTACTAGAACACTGCTTAGGTCTTTGCTCAAGCAAAGAAAAATCTAGTTCAACGGTGTAGGAAAATAGGCTCTACTAAAAATCCAAGTTATACATAAGTGGTAATTTTAACATGATTTTTATCTTACATAAAAGATGATTTTTATCTTACAAGATTTCCTATCTTACATTTATCTTACATGTATACACTAACCCCCATAGGTAAGATGAACTCCACTGTTTATATCTGTCAACAACTAATTTCATTTTTCCTATCTTCAAAGTATCTTTAGCTTTATTAAATTTAAACCTTTTTTCAAGACCTTCATCATACCTGTCTACACAGATAGAACTCGTAAGACTTTGGGACCCCACTCTTTAGACTATGGGACCCCATTAATCTACAAACTACATTTCTCAAAGTTGTATACACATTTAGGTCAGTGAAAAACATCTACATTTTTATTAAATAATAAATGTGGGGTAACAGCACCTTCAACTGAGTAACTGCTTGCTCAGCATTCTTCTTTTGGACTTCCTCTTGCTGTAGCTTTCCAGTTTTCTCAGTCAGTTCATTCACCAACCTAGCGTAATCCTGGCGCAATTTGTTTAGTTCAGCAGACTGCCTGAAAACAGCAACCTGATTAGAACCTTTCATTACTAAAAATACATATAAAGAATAAACAAAACGTAATTTTTACCTCTAAAAAGTTAGTAATTCCACTTATAGCCAACTGAAAAGGAACGCTACACATGACTACTAATAATGAAATTTGGTTGTGTATAATTCCTAAATCTTTTTGATGACAATTACATATTCTATAATCACCATAAAATAATCAAAAAAATAGATGGCGCACACTCTTAAGAACCATGAATCAATAGTACCACTCTCAGAAGGAGGAATCTATTAAAATCAGAGTACAGGCTTAATATTATTCTGTGAAAGCATGTTACCAGTCTTCATTAAGGCAATGTTTCTCAAAGTATGACCTAATGTAATTATCATCACTATCACAAAAACTGTGTCTTAATATACAGATTGCTGGGCCTGACCTCAGAGCCACTGGATCATAATAGTCTTTCAGGGTTAGGCTCAAGAGCATATTTATAATATATCAGATGTTCTTCATAATAATAAAGTCTAAGAACTACTGTTAAAGTGAATAGATGGCTTAAAGGTTATAAATTCAGTCATAAATTTGTATACTGTTTCACTGATGGCACTAGTATTTATTATATAGTTCAGCTGAATATTTTTTCATACAGGAAAAAAGAATTGTTTCTGAAAATTAAATAATTTTAAAAACAAATATAAAAATTAAACATCTACACCAATTACTATCAATACATTTTTTGATGATTCAAGAATATACTCTGTCATTCAATTAAAAATAAAGCTTTTGGAAACATACTTGCTTTCTAGTTGGTTTGTAGTGTTGCTGACAGCATCCCTCAGAATGCCATTTTCCTGTTTCAAATGCGCTATCTCTGCCTCCATCTGCTCGCGGACTTGCTGAAACTAAAATATTTTACACATGTATGATTCAGAAAACAAAGACTACCAAAGCTAATTTTTTGAAGAAACACTATGATGATGATAATGTAAAAGTAATCAATAGGATGAAGTTTAGACCATACTTCTCAGGTAAATACAAATTTAAAGGATAAAATTACATTTTGATAGGTAAGAATACAAAGAAATATAAATTACCACAGTATTCAAGAATATGTGATGATGATAGCTGCTATCATATTTGAAATATAAATACAAAATAATATATATGGAGATCTTTTAGAACTTCTTTCCTACCCAGTAGGTTCACATAATCAAGCCTGTCTTGATCCTAGACATGTCAAATTTGTTTGTATTTTTTATGAAAAATTTTAGCAATCAAAAGTTTAAAAATTAAAATTATGTTTAGTACATTTATATTAAGCTATAAATTAAGCCATAACTAACTAGATGGTAAATCTACTACATCAAAACTACTAGTCAAACACTCCTGCTTTAAAATTTTAATATCAAATTCACAGAATTTAAGATAAAAGATAAAAAGAAAAAGAACACAAAAGATTAGTCACTTCAACACCTTTTATTTTTAATAAAAACGCATTGCTGTAAGTACTACTCTAATTTTTAAATGAATAGTAAATAGGAATTAAGAAGAAATCACTTGAGACTAGGAGAATCAGTTTTTCAATAACCTTCAAATAGTTCTTCAATTAATGGGAAAGAGAAAAAGAGTACTTCAAATGGCTGTGGGTTGGGGAAATGGAAGATGTAGTCAAATAAAAGCTTTAAAGTAGCTGATGGAATAATAAACAGATTAATTCCTTTTTTTCCCCCTACTTCTGTGGAAAATACTGGGACTTTGATATTAGTAAAAAATATTTTTTTAATTTTTAGCATACTAGCAGTATCATTAAAATAGTATTTCACAGGGTCCTCCCTGGTAGCACAACAGGTTGGAGTATAGCACTGTGAGGCTGGCCACAGCCGCTTCAGCACAAGTTCAATCCCCAGTCAGCGGGGTAACCCACATGGTATGGGAGACCTCTCCTGTCCCGCCCACTGCTCCTCAGCAGTGTACTTCATCAATCTGCCTGTTCTGCTCACCTCTCTCTCTGGTGGGCCTTCTCGCCGCCCCTGCACCTCTGGCCTGTGTGCATAGATAAATAAATCTTCAAAAAATAATAATAATATTTCACAAACAAGAATCTGGCACTAACTACATGTTGGAATGGAAAGGAAAGACCTATTAAGATGGTGCCATAATTATACTACTATGAAATAATGAACTAAGGTGACATATAAGAATAAAATACAAAACAAACTAGAAATAACATGTTTTTAAAATTTCGAAACAAATTATATACTGACTCAAAGGAGTCAAGTCTAAGGATTATAATGCCTGAAAATATTTGGAAATAAAAACTACTCTGCAATCAAGAATCTGATTTTTTACCTATGTTGTGAGGTGATGACAAAAGTTTCCAAATTGAAGGACTAGCCAAAAGTGAAAACAATTTTTAAAATATCACTAACTCCAAAATTTTCATTTAGAGAAGACTATTATACTCACTTTACAAGCTGACCCAAGCCTTTTTATCAGCAATAAAGATATTTTAATCTAAAGGGGGGGGGGGGAAGTACCACACTGGAGTGATGAAATGAATGATACATGAAATAGACAGTAAGAAACTTTCTAAAATGCTGACAAAGTCAAGTAGAAAGCATGAACAAGAAACAGAAGGTCACGTGGGCTAAAACCATAGACATGAGTTATCCTACTACTACGACTCTCTTCCTCTCTCCTCCAAGAATCTTCCAATCCCACATACTAAATACTTGGTCTCACTAAAACTCACCTCCCAACATTCAGATTTTACAATATTCTCCAACATGGATTCCTTGCAAAAGCCTTCTAACTATCCCCTAATCCACTTTCCATACTATTAGTTAAAATATTAATATAATCACTAGGTTGCTGCTTAAACACTTTTACTCACTCTTCTACAACCTCAAAGTATACAAAGATCCTTTTTAAAGTCAGGACCACTATTTACTATTCTAGATTTTCTCTTCATGCCAGACCTGATTCCCAAAACTACACTACTTAACTATGTTTCTCACAATATGTTTTATTACCAGACAGCCTAAACTGGCAATACTTGGGGTGCGCTGATTAAAAAGTTGAATCCTGGGCCCCCATATAGGCCCAATGAACTATCACCATGAGCATATAAAACCACAGCCAAGGGCCCTCCCTGGTGGTGCAGCGGGTTAAAGCACTGCACTAAGAAGCTTAAGCCAATTCCGCATGAGTTCGATCCCCGCTTGCCCCGGAGGAGATCCACATGGCGTGGCAGACCTCTCCTGACCCACCCGCTGCTCCCCTCAGCAGTGTACTTTGTAGATCTGCCTGTTCTGCTCCCCACTCTATTCCTGGTGAATCCTCTCACCCTCCGCATCTCTGCCCTGTACCCCAGTTCTGTATGAATAAATAAATAAAAAAAAAAAAAAAAAACCCACAGCCAAGTTGTAACTCTTACACTTAATGGCCATTCTTTCCTAACAATGCTTAATTGTTTTAAAATACTCAACACAATCTATCACTTCTAACAAGTCTTTCTTTTCAACCTATTCTACTCTTAACCCAAGCACCCAATGCTGAGCTGTATTATAATGGAGTATTTAACTGTGAGGACAGCTTCCAGCCTCCTTATCTCATTCTCAACTAGAAAAGCTGTGTATTTATTATGTGCATGGAGGCATTTGAACTAGTCATTGTAGCTGGATGGCCCAGACTACAAAAGCAGACTTTCAAAAGTTTGTTAATTAAACAACATTTTTAAATGAAATGCAGACATTTCATTCATGTTATTTTAAAGAATTAAAATATACCTTCATCTGCATCTGTTGAGTCTCTTGATAACTGACATGCATTTTATTTTGAAACACATTATGTTCCTTTTCTAATGTTCCAATCCGGTCTTTCATCCTTGCTATAACCATACTGCTTCTTTCTTTCTCAGCCATCATTTCCTGGAATAAACCAGAAATTATGAAAAAGTTATTAAAAAGTACCATAGTTATACCAATAAAACATTTTTAACATACAAAAACTAGCACTGAAAACAGTCATGAATTCTGAAATAAGTACTTGCCTAACAAGGTCAAAGATTTAAAAAATAAAAAGTCTTCTGCATATTATCTACTCTTTATACCAGTTCCCTTCATGAACACTTTGCAGCTCTGTTTACTCTTTCAAATGTACTTTCTAGTCTAAGGCAAAGTGTTAAAATGTTATAAATCCTACATTCTGACTTGATTTTAAGAAAAAACATTTTTAAAGCAAAGTTGTTAATTCTTTATTATTTGCAGGTACTAGATCTCAGAATACAGAAAAAGGAAAAATTGACTAAAAAAGTCTCTTAGGAGACTATTTAGACTTTAAGAGCAAAAATCAGAAAGCAATTTTTTAACCATATTCCCAAATCAAATCTTAAGAGGGTGATTTCATTTTGTATTGCATGTATTATGAACTCTTAGAACAAATATTAATTACTAAAGTATAAGAAAACCAAGCAACTTTAAGATTACTTGACAGGTATGCTCATCAGTTCATGTTCCCAGTTCTAAGAAACTAGCAAAACTAAAGATTTTTGTTAACTGTGATTACCCATGAGGGTTAGGTCATTTAAAATTATAAACTGCTATACTGATATCTACAATACACTTAGGTAAAAGTGTACAGATGAATGAATTATCAAAATAGTCATCTGATTTTTAATTAAAATATACTTAAGAAATTACAACCATATAAACTTAAGTGTCTAATCTTAAAGGAGTAACTTAGTAAAAGACTTTTATTAATCTTAATCAAGTTTCCTATGAACTTTTAAAAATTTATTTTAAATTCACATGAAGACTTTATATTCAAATGAAGTCAGTTTCATAATGTCATCAGGTAGTTGAGTGAATGTTACAGAAATAAACTTCATTTATTGTTTAATACCAAAAAGAAGAAATATAGACTTCAGGGCCAAATTTTCTATATGTTCTAAGTCTACACAACTTTTGAAATGTATACAAAAATATTATTAGTTTAGGGTATACAGCATAATGAATTGGCATTTATGTATACCTGGCTCTTGAACAAGGGATTAATTGTGCCAAAAGCCAACAAAGTGGAAATCCACATATTTACTGTATCAATTATTATAAGTTTACATTGTTTATTTACAAGAAAATCTACACATAAGTAGACCTTCTTAGTTCAAACCTGTATTGTTCAAGGGTCACGTGTATTACAAAATGATCACCAAAAAAAAAAATCAGTTACACCAATCACCACAGCTAAAAATTTAATTTCTTGTTAAGATTTACTCTTTGAGCAAATTTCAGAAATATGATACAGTATTAGCTATAGTCACCATATTGTTTATTTTATAAATAAGCCACAGGACTATTATTTTATAACTAGAAATCTGTGTCTTTTTTTATATATTTTTTGCAAAATTTTTAAAAGGTTTTTTTTTACTTTTCAGAACTTTCTAAGGTTTCAAGAAAACGTATTAAAATTATATTTATCACAAGAATGTTCATAAATAACTTATGAGTTTTATGTTGATCTCTGAATTGGGTTTAAAATAGATAACAAATTTTGTGATTTTCTAGAGAATAATTCCAGATGATATCCAATTAAAACACATTCTCAATGTCCAACTGCTTCCGTACTCTGAAATTAGGGTATCTGTAACTACTGTTACTCATAATCCAGCAATAGGCTATAAAAAGGAGAAAATATGTCATTAAAATATGTAAGAGAAGAGTGAGACATGCCTCTACCACCAACAAAATTCTAAAAGACAGTAACTTTTACTGGGCATAAGTTTCTCACATAGGGCCCACCTAGTGACATATGGGATGAAGTATCAGCACTATCACTTCTAGGGCCTAAGTCTAAGCCCTTGCTAGGTGTTGGGGGCTGAGGCCGGCATCTGGCGTCTGTCAGCAGCCATAAAAAGCTGAAATGGAGTCCGGATAGAGAAAAACATCAAGGCCCCCCACAGCGAGGGAGCTAAGCCCCATATGGTTCAGCAGGCATATTTAGTAAATCTGCCTGTTTTGCACCCTACTCTCTGGTGAGTCCTCTCAAACCCCATCAGCCCACATGCACCTCTGGCCTATACCCCAGTTCTTCTACAAATAAATCTTAATTTAAAAAAAAAGTATTAATACACAAATAGTTAAATCTGAAACTGCAATTTCTAAAATTTATCATTGATTCTGATTCAGAAAGTATGTTTCTTAGAAGAGTATCTTTACCTGGGTTAACTGCTTACACCGATCCTTTGTAGCAGCAACGTCTTCCTTCACTGCAGCAAGTAACTTGTCTTTCTCTTGAAGCTGATGTATAAGTGCAGTCAATTCTCCTTTACTTGACTGCATTGAGAAATCAATAGAGAATCATGGGTGAATAAAAATTATGAAAAGAAAGTATCTAATTGTAACTGCTCTCATGTGAATGTAGAATTCTCTGTTTCAAATAAAGAATTACTACCAATTGCTGATCATTGAAATATCATTAGAAAAATCACTGCATCATTGTATGTTCTGAACCATAGAACAGGATACATAACAATCAAGAAACCAATCATACAAAGAAATACAGGACTTCCAGTTTTAAACTCTGAGTCAAGATAGCAATTTCTGCCTTCTCTTTATGAAAGCTCAAATGAAAATTATGAATCAAGTATCAGGAAAGACTACGCACTACCCTAAGTAGTGGTGCTCAAACACAGGTGCTCAACAACTGTCAGAATATACAGGTGCCAGTATATGAAAGCACGGTTTTCTGAAGTTAACAGGCATATATATTAAAAAAGGTAAAAGCAACAATCCACACCTCCCCCTGGTCCTCTCTGGTTTTGATATTACGAACAAGTGCAAAATAGAAAGCAGGAATTTTCTTAGAAGGAAGTCTCAAGAAATAGAAATAGTAAGAAGTAGTAATCAAACTTGACTCAGAACAACTCATCAGTGAGACAGAGAGTAGAATGACTTTCTGTAGTGAGAGCTTTCACAGGGGAAAATGGAAAGCTTGAAAGAACTCATGTGCACAACACACAGCCCCAGAAGAACACCAGTTACTCTTGGCCTTTCCATGTTTTCAAATCCCAAGCATTGAGATGATCACTAAAAGAGGCATACTGATCAAAAAGAAAACAGTGTCTATGCAATATAGAAGGAAAAAAAAGGTAAATGAAGAAAAAATACCAGAAAAAGATCAAAGAGTAAACAAAAATTTGAAAAAAAAATGATTTCTAAATATCTAATATAGTCATTATTGCTGGAAAGTAAGAGCAAAGAACAGAATTCACAAGAAAAAGCTAAGAGAAAAGTTAACACCATAGGATGAGAATAAACAGTTAAAACATATGACTTGGCAAAACAAGAATAAAATATGAGCTGAAATATAGGCTGGTAAAACCCAAAGTAGAAGTAAAATTAACACCATCTCAAAAAATAAAATCCAGTTAGCATCTAACAGAAAAAGACATCCACAAAACATACATTTAAGAGTTCAGGCAAGCGATATAAAGTATATAAGCTACAATCTTTTTTGAACTAACAAGTGCAAAATAAAAAAGTCAAAGTCAATGTCAAGTCATTTTAGTAAAGTGATTAACATCAAAGAACTGAAACCCTTGATTCTCTAAGGAGAATGGACTCTAGAATAAACTCCAAGGAATATTAAGTACTTGGTTGACTCTGCTCAATGATATTTTTATTGTGAGAGTATAGTGTGACAAAAATACATGAAAATATTAATATCATCCTATTTTATGAACACAAAGAACAGTAAAACAAACTTGAAAAATTCCCAAGGAAACAAAGTGAAACACAGAAACATCAAACCCTACACCACATTAATCAAACAGAGACATAACAAAGAATTTAGGAAATATAGTTTCCATGGGTCCTTCTGAAATTTTTCTAGGAAAAATAGCTAGGAAGGCCCTCCCTGGTGGCACAGCGGTTTAAAGCACTGCATTAAGAAGCTTAAGTCATTTCCACATGAGTTCGATTCCTGCCTGCCCCGGAGGAGATCGACATGGTGCGGCAGACCTCTCCTGACCCGCCCGCTGCTCCCCTCAGCAGTGTACTTCGTCGATCTGCCTGTTCTGCTCCCCACTCTGTCCCTGGTGAATCCTCTCACCCTCCGCATCTCTGGCCTGTACCCCAGTCCTGTATAAATAAATAAATCTTAAAAAAAAGAAAAATAGCTAGGCAACCAAGAGATGGATAAATAAACTAAGGCAAAAGAATTGATATCAAGCTGTGAACCCATCATTTACTCTAGAATTGAGATGAAACAAATAATGTAATAATGGAACATACTAAATATTACAGGTTTTCAATAAATGCTATAATTAGCAAAAGGATAGAAAAGTCAAGAAAAATTAAGTAGGTAGACCTCCTGTTTCATGAATATGACAAATCATATCATTGATGCCAGAGTCCAGAATTTTAATCTACATTCAAAATAAAAACACCAGTATTTTGGAATTCAAATACAAAGAAACATGCATATACACAACCTAACATCTCTCCAAACTATGCAACCCCAAAAGCCTTTGGTCTATTTTTCCCTTTCCTTCTAAGCTTATTCAAAGTGCAGAGGGAGGTGACAAAGGAAGGGAGTGGTAATAAGACAGCCCATGCAGAAGGAAAGGCTTGGTATCCTCGAAAGAAACCAGAAAAAAACCTAGAATGAGTGAAAAGAAAGGAGAGAAGAGAAAAAATACCATCAGATAGATAAGGTTTTAGAGCAATATGAAATATAATCCTAATACTTTAGCAAGCCTAGGTTTAAATGTGAAAAAGAAAGGCACTAAATGGTTTTTAAAACAGTGTGTAACATGACTTTATTTACCTCTTAAAAGTCACCCTGAAGTGGTGTGGGAAAAACAAATTAGAGGATTAAGAAGGAAAGCATAAATACCAACTCGACCATGTGAAAAGTGGTAACTTATACAGTGATCCTTAAGAAAAAAAGTGAAGCCAATCAAAGGTTTAAAGCACGTAGTTTTGTTGTTCAACGTTTGTGTATGTATGCACCTGTGTGTATGAGAGCATGATTTTAGAACAGGAATCCTTATGTCCAATAATCTAATAGTGTATACCAGACATCAGTGTCATCTCATAAGTTACACTTGAAAAACTGTCATCCTTCCCAGTATGACCATAATTCATGCTAATGTAACATGAGCCATGAGAATTAAGATATCAACTCCATGGATCCTTTTCTGTATTTTACAAATTTTAGTCAGCTACAGCAGAGTTCACCATCCAATTTATTTGAGAAAGATTCTATTACATACATACATATCCACAATCTCTCTAGAAAACTAAAGATTCCCAGATTCTGTTAATGGTAGTAATCTCAGTCACAATCCATGTGTTTTATCCAGAAATCATCTGACTTTAAAAGCAAGGTGCAATTTAGCTAAGCACCGTATGGTCGACCTTAAAGTCATATAAACCACCTTATTATAAGAAATCCTCTTATCAAAATATCAAATGACTCAGATGCCTGATTATGCTAATAAAGTGCACTCATTAGCAGAACATATGAAATAATTTCTGAAGGCATTCCAGAACTTTCAAATATGACCTTTGTGCTTTGGGGTATTAAGGATGGGAGCAGATAGTAAGTTAGTGTTCTAATAGGAGTCTTGAACTTCCTATCTCTATTCCCTAATAAGCCCATAATCAAAAATATGCTTACCTTCTTAAAAGCATCCTGTATTACACCAGACTTCTCTTTTAGTAGGTCTACAATACAGAGAGCTTCATCTTCTGAAAACATCATAGTTTTCAAGGACAAAAGAAAATCTTTAAATTTCACTTCAGCATTTTCTTTAGGGAAAGAAAATAAGGGGAGGGGATAAAGACTGACATTTAAAAGACATAGCAATGACTTTAGGAAAGGTTAGCATTAAGAATCCCTGACCAAGAAAGTAATAACCAAGAGAAAACACATTTATACTTCAGCTCAAATAACAACTGTTCCAATCAAGGCAGGAAAAAATTACCTTTATAATCTTTAAAATAATATGAAATTAGGCCCTCCCTGGTGGCGCAGCGGGTTACAGCACTGCACTGAGAAGGTAAAGCCACTTCTGCATGAGTTCGATCCCCACCTGCCCCGGAGGTGACCACATGGCGCGGCAGACCTCTCCTGACCCGCCCGCTGCTCCCCTCAGCAGTGTACTTCGTCATCTGCCTGTTCTACTCCCCACTCTGTCTCTGGTGAAGCCTCTCGCCGCCCCTGAGCCTCTGGCCTGTACCCCAGTTCTGTATGAATAAAATAAAATCTTTTTAAAAAAATAATAATATGAAATTAACTAAAAATCTGCTCAAATGCAGAATACTGAATTTTATGCTCGCTTAAAAAAAAACTTAAATCAAACTAGTTCACTACCTTGCGCCATGTACAAAAACCAACTCAAAGTGGATTAAAGACCTAGATACAAGACTCGAAATCATGAAATACCTGGAAGCAAAGATGGGAAGATGGGCGAAACACTACACACATACACCTCAGTAATATATTTGAAGATACAGCACCCAACACAAGGATAGTGAAGGAAAGGATAAATAGATGCGACTATATCAAGTTAAAGAACTTCTGTACAACAAGAGAGACATTACAAAAAAACAGATATCCCACTGATTGTGAAAAAATTTCTTTCACATAACTAGAGATAAAGGATTGATCACAAAGATATACAAAGAACTGATGAAACTCAACAAAAATAAACAACCTCATTAAAAAATAGGCAGAAGTGGCCCTTCCTGGTGGCGCAGCGGGTTAAAAGCACAGCAGTGAATAGCTAAAGCCACTTCAGCATGATTTCGATCCCCGCCCCGGAGGTGATCCACATGGTGCGGCAGACCTCTCCTGACCCGCCCACTGCTCCCCTCAGCAGTGTACTTCGTCAATCTTCCTGTTCTGCTCCCCACTCTGTCTCTGGTGAATCTCTCACCGCCCCGAGCCTCTGGCCTGTACCCCACTTCTCCAAAGAGGAAATTTAGACAATCAACAAGCATATGAAAAAATGTTCAACATCACTTGTAATGCGGGAGATGCAAATTAAAAGTATAATGAGATACCACCTCACACCAGTGAGAATAGCACATCTTCAAACAACTAGCAACAACAAATGTTGGTGAGGATGTAGAGAAAAAGGAACTCTCCTGCACTGCTGGTAGAATGCAAACTAGTACGACGACGATGGAAAACTGTTTGGAGGTTTCTCAGACTGCTAAAAATGGAGCTTCAATATGACCCAGCAATCCCACTCCTTGGCTCCTACTCCTTGGTATCTACTCAAAGGACACAAAAGCAATGATTCAAAAAAGCACTTAAACCCCCATGTTTATTGCTGCTTTATTTACAATAGGAAAGACATGGAATCAACCCAAATGCCCAAAAAGTAGATGAATGGATTAAGATATGGTACATATCCACTGTGGAATATTACTCAGCAATCAAAAAAGATAAACACATGCCTTTTGCAGCAACATGGATGGAGCTGGAAGGGATCATGCTTGCTGAAATAAGCCAGAAGAAAAGGGAAAATACTAGATGGTTTCACTCATAGCAGGAGTATAAAGGACCGGGGGGGAAATAATAATAATAATGAATAGCTGTATACCAGAGACATTTTATGGGGATGGAGTGGGGAATGGGATCAAAAATGGGGGGAAGAGAGACTATGGCAATGGCACATGGGTGACTTGGTAATGGGAAGCCCACGGGGATTATAGCTGAGATGGAAAAAGGCACAAAATGATGTAAAAATACTACTTTTTAAATTTTTTTTTGAAAAATGAACTATTTAAATGTCTTGTATACATTAGTCTACACTATATTTGTTCACAAACACATTCATTTAACAGTAATAACTGACATATAAAAAAGGTTAGATGAAGACAGAACACTGAAGTAAAAAAATTCTGATTCAAAGTCCACACATCAAACATCTTCTGACTTATCTACCTTAACTGCCCCAAGACTCTCATAATAGGCACCAACTCTTCTTAAAGAAACTACTATTGGGCCCTCCCTGGTGGCGCAGTGGGTTAAAGCACAGCATTGAGAATCTAAAGCCACCTCCGCATGAGTTAGATTCCCACCTGCCCCGGAGGAGTTCCACATGGCGTGGCAGACCTCTCCTGACCCGCCCGCTGCTCCCCTCAGCAGTGTACTTCGTTGATCTGCCTGTTCTGCTCCCCCCTCTGTCTCTGGTGAAGCCTCTCACCGCCCCTTAGCCTCTGGCCTGTACCCCAGTTCTATATGCACGAATAGATAAATCTTTAAAAAAAAAAAAAAAGAAAAGAAAGAAACTACTATCCATTAGACTCAAAGGAGCTCATTTTAAGTTTAAAAAAAAAAAAAGAAAAAAGTTGTGCACGAGTGTGGGGCAAGCAGGATGTTGGAAATCTCTGTATATTCCCTTAATTTGTTCTGAATCTAAGTGTGCGATTAAAAATGAAAATGAGCCTATTCTGTTTAAAGGAGTCTATGAATTAGCATATCACCTTCAGAGGAAATAGAAGGGAATGATCACCACACAGCAAGAGATCCCAAGCAAATTGACACCCTAAGGCAAATCAAATTCCAATGTTCAGATCTACAAAATTAAGGCTAAACTAGAAAACTATCAATAAATCTTTACTACAAAGACTCTATGAATACTTTGCAATTCATCATTTCTGTGAGATACTGCATTACATCAGAATCAAAAATCTGTTTTGGTAATATCTATTGCAGAATGTGTTATATCATTCTACACATTACCTTTGTCAGTTTCAATCTTCGGTTTTTTAGCCCCCATTTTCTGGATTCCTTCTATTTGCTGAGGTTTAATCAAATCAATAATGTCTCTTTTATCCACCACAGGGTCTGAATCTGCATTATCCACCAGAGGAATATAAGTAGTTGCATGAGTAAGGGGTTCATCTACCAAGACTGCAAATGAAATTCAACAAAATCATAATGACACATGGTTTTTTCTAACAATAATTAAATAACATTAAGCATGTTTTCTAACAATAATTAAATAACATTAAGCATTAAACATGTCTATAATGAAGTTATTTTCAAATTTCCAATACCATCCAATTTGGCTTTAAATTCCTACTACCAAGATGGACACCTCCTTATTTTGTTGTGTGTGTGTCTGTGTATGTGTGTGTAACTAGACCAGAAGTGCAAAGAAGTTCAGAAGCAGGGTGAGAGGATTTAGTAAAGACAGAGTCGGAGCACAACAGGCAAATCTATTGGAATACACTACTAAGGGGTACAGCAGGCAAGACAGAAATCTGCTGTGCCATATGTGCGTTAACTCCCTGGCAGGAGACTGAACTCAAGCCATAGAAGTGATGTGCTGAAACTTAACCCCTAGGCCACCAGCGAGGCCCATGTTCCTAATTTTAATGGGAAGAACTCTAAAAGTTTGAACATTAAAGTCTGGTATTTGCTGGTTAGAGTTACATAAAAGGTCAATAACTATATGCAACTCATTTTATATTCCTGACTTTTAAAAAAGACTGTTGGGCAAGTATAATTCTTTAATTTGAAACTTAAAGATTTAATCTTAACAAACATTTTTGGGCAACATTTTTCCTATATGATTCGTCAATGTCATAATTTTAAGACAAACAGAATTTCATCTTCTTCTTTTCCAATTTAATCATTTTTCGAACACTAGTTGATCTGCCAAAAAACCTTTTTAATATCTGTTTACAAAAAAAACTCATAATAGCAAAGTTTTGGGAGGCAATTCTGAATCTATAAAAACCTACTATCTCACTTTTTAGATGTTTTTCATATATACATATCAATTATGTTTAGGAATTGGGAATGTAGAGCAATAATAGATCTATCTGAAGTCCTCAGTTTTTGTGATTCAAAAACTACAAACATTTCAGAAAACTTTAAGTTCTTATTCTACCTATCTTATTGTCAAAACAGAGTTCAGAGAACACTTATAAATGCTTTGTTCTTCATAAACTTTTCATAAACTTGTACCCTGCCCATGTGCCATAGCACTAGGAAGCCGGCTTGCATGGCATTAAGAAACCCCTAGACTGGTAAGTCAGTTTCTATGGTACATGTTCGAGTGTAAATTAAAGCACTATGGAGTTCCTAAGGTCCCTGGTCCTGGTGTACATCTCTAGAATATATAAAATACACATTGAAACATTTCACCATTTTCTGTCTTTTGCTTCTTTGATGACACTTTCTTCTTTCCTGATCCACTTTCTTGCTTAGTCTCTTGATGGAGAGGTAATGATTCCTGCTTTTTTGAAGGCACCGTAAGAATTTCCACCTTTTTATCCTGATCATCTTTATTAAAAATAAGAAAAATTATCAGTGAAAAGTATCACAGGAAACAACGCAATTATCACTAATTCAAAGAAAACTTTACCACCAAAATTTTTAATTGATATATAACTCTCTCACCAATAACACATCACTCTATCCTTCTCAGCTACATCTGTTCTGTAACTTCATTGAGATTGCTAGTACCTGTTCCTCCTCTTATAGCCCAGTGCTGAGTTACTCTCAGGTAGACATGGTCAAACTTTATCATGTTAAAAAATAAAAGCCGGCCCTCCCTGGTGGTACAGCGGGTTAAAGCACTGCACTAAGAAGCTCAAGCCACTTCCCCATGAGTTCGATTCCCGCCTGCTCCGGAGGTGACCACATGGCGTTGCAGACCTCTCCTGACCCGCCCGCTGCTCCCCTCAGCAGTGTACTTCGTTGATCTGCCTGTTCTGCTCCCTACTCTGTCTCTGGTGAATCCTCTCACCCTCCGCATCTCTGGCCTGTACCCCAGTTCTGTACAAATAAATAAATCTTTAAAAAATAAATAAATAAAAAAATAAAAGCCTTGCCAGATCCATTTCCTTCTTATACTGACAAAAGAATATCCTGTCCTACTCTTTCTGCCAGCCATTTATCAACTAATGCAATTGGTTCTCATTTCCTTCAGTATAACCATGAAAGAAGTTACTCAGATGATCTCTAGTGTCCCTAAAATAGCATACTCTACCAATAATATCCTTGAATCCTTATTTGGACTTCCACTTAACATTTCATATTCTGCCTCCTTTTTAAAATGCTCTCCTCTCTGTTACACTAAGTGCAATAAACCAGTCAAATGTGTGATTGTGTTTATATCTAAAGTTGTCAAATTCACAGGCAGAAAGTAAATGGTGGTTGCCAGTGGCCAGAGGAAGTTAAGGAGTCAGGAATCAGCCTTTAATAGACATGGATTTCAATTGGGAAGGATGAAAAAGTCCCTAAGATGGCAGGTGGTAATAAAGCACCAAAAAAGTGAATGTACTTTAACAGCACAGAACTCTGTATGCTAAAATGCTAAATTTTAAATAAGGTATATTCTACCACAAAATAAAGAATTATCTACCAGCTCCACGAAAATTCTATTCCTACGATTGGACTATTCCTTTGCAATCTCATTTGTGAGTTGCTCTTACTGAACACCTTACACATATTATGCTGGTGTTCCTCAGGTTGTCTTCAATTTAAATTGTTCCCTATGATTACAGCTACCCATGACTTCAACTATTATCCTCATGATTAAGTCTTCTCAATCTATATTCTAGCTTTATGCATCAGCACTTACACATCCGGAACTGTTTTCTAGGCAGATGGTCCCAGAAGCACATGAAACACAAACTAGAAATGTTCTCCTCTGCATACACATACACTCTTTCCAGTATTCCCTATTTTAGTACTATCAAACATCTACAGATGAGGAATTACCAAACTTTTTCTGTAAAGAGCCAAAGAGTAAAAACTTTTCAGTTTTGTGAGCCATAAAGACTGTCCATAAGTATTCAGCTTTTGTTGCAGTAAGCCAATCAAAAACATGTTCATAATGGCTGTACTTAAAAAAATTTTAACAAAATGTTCTTCTTTGAATTTTCTTTAGACCATTTAAAATGTAAACTATTTTTAGTTGATGGACCATAAAAAACAAGAAGCAGGCTAAATTTGGCTCACTCTCACTTAAAACCTGGCAAATAACATTTTGCTCTTGCACTCCCCTTTATCAATCACACCCTGCCCAGTATGTAAAGTCATTTCATTTTTACTTGGTAGACCTCTCCAATCTACTATTTCTTCTGTCATTACCACAGTTCAGTTCTCCACCCTTAACCCTGGAAAACTACAACAGCCTCTTAATTAATCTGTTTATATTAAATACTGCCTCATGGAATCTGTCCTCCCAAATTCTACCAAAGACAGCTTTCTAAGATACATGTCTAACCATGCAAAGTAACCTAGTTGGTAATTTTCGACAATGGCAAAGCTATTACATTCCAGTTCCAAAGCATTGCACACTAAAGAACCATGATCTAATCACTGCATACCTTTTCAGCTGTTTCCTATTACTCTTTAAGGTACATTTCCTCATTCTACATTACACTGTACTCTTCTGGCAATGTGGAACAAGAGACCACCAATGTTTCTTGGAGGAAGTAACTATTCTGGAAGACTCAGTTCAAGTACTGCCTCCACTCTAAAGTTTTTTACCACTAGTATCCATGTGTACTTGTTACTTTGGCTTCTAATTTTATTATTTGCTTATATTCTACTCCCCCACTAAAACGGTATACTTTTCTTACTCATTTCTTTAGCATAGTGATCATCACCTAGTTTATTTAAAATTCAAAAGCTAATTAAACATTCCAAAAGATACACAAATGGTATACAAAAATCCTTTTGCAATTTTGCACATAACCATGCCATTTCTCATGTCTTTTCCACTAGTATGTTAACACCACCCTTTGATAAATCTCACCCTTCCTAACAACATCTAAAAAAAAAAAACACCTAGATAGTACTTCTTCAACTTTTAAGATAATTTCAGGTGTTACATATTTTAAGTGGACCTCCTTAGGACTCCTATAGTAGTGTAGAGTTACATCATTATACTGAACTTTTTATATTATATTAACCTATTTATATTTATGTCTAAAACTAAGCATGTGACTACATTGAAAATGTACAATTCATCTCTATACTCCAAATACCTGAAGTAATACCTAACATAAAATAATGTGACAAAAGTGTCTGCAAAATAAAACAATCAAGAGCAAGAAATTGTATCTAATTTCTTTTCTTTTTTAATTCCTATCTCACAATGATTACAAAATACTGACTATAATAGATGTTTCCAAATGCTGATATTCAAAAGTCCTCAAGTGGTTTCAGTAAAAACAGCAATTAATGAAAGCAACAACACAGTGAACAGGATGGTGCACTCACAAATTCTGGACTTAGCATTCAACATTCTGTGTTGTACCCAACACAGTATCCAAATTTCTAGCAAATTATTTGAAAATTCTAAAGATATTAAACAAATACAATCACGCAACAAAATTGAATAGATTATAATACCGCTTCCGTTTTTAGGCTTCTTCTGCCCTGGTTTTTTCTTTGAGGCAGTTGCTTCAGAAGGGGGAGTTGGCTGTGTAGTAACTGGGACAGGTTCTACTTTTTCTACTTTTTTGCCTGGAACCTTTGATATATCACTTTCTTTGGTGACCTGCTCTTCTAGTACAGGCTTGTATTTCTTTTCCTTCTTCTTTCTTTCTCTAACACTACTTGGGGTTTCAACCACATTCAATGGAACAGGTACAACTTGCTCATCTTCTACAGCCAAAACATCAGATAATTTGAAGTCCCGCAGTACACTTTCAGAATCAGATTCATGGAGATTCCCATTCTGAATTTCTTTCTTTTTATTCTTTTTCTTTTCTGCCTTCTTCTTATCTGTTTTGGTAGGAATAAGTTTTTGTTCTCTTTTCTGTTTTGCAAGAACTTCATCATATAATGTTTCTTTCATGAAAAGCCAGAAGAAGAGGAAAATTACTGTAATGACTACTGAAGGTATAAGGACAATAAAATACGTTGACTCATAAAACTCCATGGTGTTTGTCTTAATGTGATCCTGTAAAACCTAAGTGTAAAGAAAAAACAGAAACAACTCAGTCATAAAAATCAAACACACAAAACTCTTTTCTTTCAAGTGGCATTTCAAATCTCATCTGATCATTTAAGCAGGTTAGCTGTTCATTACTTTGCCAAGTGTAATTCAAATGTACTATGAAACAGGGCTTCCCTGGTGGCGCAAGGGGTTAAAGTACAGCACTAGGAAGCTATGTGAAGCCGATGCAGGAGTTCAAGCCCCAGGTAGGAAGCTGACCCACATAGTACAGCAGACCTCTCCTGACTTACCCACTGCTCCCCTCAAGATGTGCTGAGACATATGAAAGATACAGAAATATAAATCAAAATCACAATGAGTTAGAATGTGTCCTTTGAGATAAAATTACAAATTAGATGCTTTTCTCAAATGTGTTCTAGGGAACCCTTACTGCCAACAATTTTTAGTGCAAAACTAGCCATCACCAACTATCCCAGAGTACCCAGAGACTATAAAAGTCATTGCTTCAATCAAATATGCATAGTTACAGCTAATTTAAAATTTTAAATTCCAAATATTGCTATTCATAGAAATATGTATAAGCTACATAAATATGGTTTGTATTCTTGTAATTCTTCTCAAAGTAGCAATGAAAGGTGTAAAGAGATGAAATTAAATTCCATGACATGCTTAAGATAAAAATTAAAACTCAGGCCCTCCCTGGTGGCGCAGCGGGTTAAAGCACAGCACTGAGAATCTAAAGCCGCTTCTGCATGCATGAGTTTGATTCCCGCCTGCCCCGGAGGTGACCACATGATGCGGCAGACCTCTCCTGACCCGCCTGCTGCTCCCCACCTCAGCAGTGTACTTCTCGATCTGCCTGTCCTGCTCCCCACTCTGTCTCTGGTGAAGTCTTTTGCCACCCCTAAGTCTCTGGCCTGTACCCCAGTTCTGTATGCACAAATAAATCTTTAAAAAAAAAAATTAAAACTCAGTCAATTTTGTACTTTTAATTAACAAATCTGAGAATTTTAGAAGTTTTAGAATTATTAGAATAAAACCTGAAAAACAGCTAAAAACAAGTTAAACCAGACTCTACCTAAATAGAGGAATAACTATTTAAGAATTGTTTCAAACCTTAGAAATCACCTGCCTTAGCGTTAAAGTGTCAAATAATAAAACTATCACCAGCTACTGCAACATGAGTTAAATCACCAGCCAGGGAGCTAACCCACATGGCTCAGCAGATCTCTCCTGTCTCACAGGCCACTTCCCTCAACAGTGTATTTCAGTAGATCTGCCTGTTCTGCTCCCTAGTTTGTCTCTGGTGAATCCTCACCACCTCTCCCAGACACCTACACCCCAATTCTTGTATGTATAAATAAAAATAAACCTTTTTAAAAAGAGAAAAGAAATTAACTGCCTTGGTAAGTCTGAGTTTACTGAATATAATACTTCAGAACCAGTTTAGTAGGACTCAGGAATTTTTCCAAGCCTAGATATAGCTTTTCACAGTTGTCTACGTTAACGGCCATCACAGACAGCCCAAGGGACCTTATAAAGATAACATAAAATTAGGTGTATTAAATTTAGTCTTTCAACTAATTTTCATGTCACTTTAAAAAAAAAGGCAGAGCTCTCCCTGGTGGTGCAGTGAGTTAAATCACAGAACTAAGAAGCTTAAAGCCACTTCTGCATAAGTTTGATCCCTGCCCGCCCTGGAGGTGACCCACAAGGCGCAGCAGACCTCTCCTGACTCGCCCGCTTCTCCCCTCAGCAGTGTACTTCTCTTCTCCCCTCAGCAGTGTACTTCGATGATCTGCCTATTCTGCTCCCCACTCTGTCTCTGGTGAATCTCTGGCCTGTACCCCTGTTCTGTATGAACAAATAAATAAATCTTTGAAAACAAACAAAAAAAAAAGGGCAGAGATACAAAATGATGTAAAAATAAACTATTATGTTTTATATATATATATTAAAAAAAAAAGGCAGCATATAGGAGCAATGTGCTAAGTCTGAAAATAGCCAGGAATGAAAGCAGAGAACAAAGTTGATAATTTTATAACTGAAACCTGTTAACCTTTTATATATCCACAAGCAATTTTTTAAGACTTATCTTTTTGTATGCATACAAGTACTGCGGTGTACGCCAGAGACAGAGTAGAAAGCAGAACAAGCAGATACCCTGAAATATATTGTTGAGGGGAGCAGTGGCTAAGACAGAAGAGGTCTGCTGCACCAAAGAATGAACTCACACATCAATCAATGGCTGGTGATAGCTTGATAGCACTTTAACACCTGTGCCACCAGGGAGGCCCTAACAAGCAATTTTTAAGATGTTAATATAACCCTGGATGTGTGTAAAGTAAGGTTTTAACAAAACCTTGAAAGGGATCAAGAATATTGTGCTAACAAAATACTAAAAATAAGTTTATACAGAATTGTTTCTGCTAACTCATTCATTTCTCATTCTAAATTGATCACATTAATTTTACTGTGCTTAATCGTTACTCATCAATCAGGAATGTTTTTAAGGAGCAGATGCCAAGCTTTATTTTAGGTTTTGTTCACTTAGTTTTCATTGGATGAAAGAAAAAAGACCCCCAAAAACATGTTGACTCTTTGGATTTTTGCTTTGAAGGAGAAGGTAGGCTATTAAGGCACTTAACAGCAGTAACAGATGTTTAAAAAAAAAAAAGATCAAGTCATAGTAAGGAAGCATTCATGAAAAACAAGTCTCAGGTATGTTCAGCCTAGGTCTTAAGAAAGCATAACCAAGATGACATCACCAACATGGCTGACAAGAGTCGGTGGGATTAAGTTCTCTCTTGGATGTGGTAAATAAGGGAAAACTGCAGCAAACTGCAGTCAAGACTCAGACATTTTGAACAGGATTGGCAACCTAGGGGAAGCAGGAGGAAGGTGAAAGCAACAGAAAAAATAAAAAATAAAAAACAAATGAAAACCTGCAAACCCAGAACACCTCGACCAAGGAAAGAAAAGGAAAAGGAAAAAACCTGAAGGCAACTAGGGAAAACTGAAACATCTGAAAACCCCATGAGAGAAGCAAAGGTTAGCAGGTTGATTTGCTTGGAGAAGAGTGGAACTACTACAGATCCGCGGGAGTGCGACTTGTGGGAAGGATAAGACTCAGCCCTCTTGCCACTGGTGGCAGGACAGGGGCCTGGCCTCAGCCTGAGGGATCACGTTTCTGGTCCCCTGACAGAGCCGTAGGCAGGGCAGCAGTGCTGCCGCCTTGAGCAGCTATTCTGATAGTGAAAGCCAGGCAGGGAGTGACAACCAGCACCCACTGTTAACCTTGGCCAGGGCGTGCCTCTGCTGCTGAAACAGGCAGGACTCTGCCATGAATCAGGACCTTGGGTACCAGGCAGGGTGTGACAGCCTGTGCTCAGCTCCCGGCCATTAACTGAAAATGTGAGTGGCCATAGCCCCTGAAATAGATGGGACTCTTCTGTGAACGGGGAGCCCTGTGCTTTGGCTCCCAGGACTTTGGGTGCCCAGCAGGGCATGTCAAACCGTGCTCAGCTCCTGACCATTAGCTGGAAGAGCAGCAAGTCATGGCTGCAGCTCAGTGGAACAGGCAGGGATATCCTCCAGTAACAGGCAGCAGACAACACCTGGTTAAAACTACTAGTTTGGCAGTTGTAGAGCCACCACTACTAGCGCATACTACCTTATCCAAATTGGAAATCATGCCAGGGGTGAGGACACTGCCAACAGGAGCAAAAAGCCCCCCTAACGAAATCAAGCAACAGAGGGACTACCGCCACCAAGAACATGCATCCCCCAATCACAGTCACAAGCTAAGAATCTTATTACCCCCACTTAAAACAGTGGAAACACAGAGGGAAGAAGTCACCAGATACAGCACTCAAACTCACCACCATACTCACAATGCCATCAGCCTTGTGGAGGACTGGTGCATTAGTCCATGACCTGGTCTAAATACCAGTCTCGGCCACCCAGAAGGAGCACCCAGAAGAAATGCCAGCCACTACTAGCAACACAGTATCTCAATGCATAGAAAACATTAGGAAAGAATGTTTTAGGAAAAAAAAAAAGTACCCAAAAAAAGCCTACAGGGGAATATTTACCACAAAAAGATCGGCCACCAGAAATCAACAAAAATATAGAAAAACTGCTCAGCCTATCAGAGATTGATATGAGACAATCAGTGAACTGAAGAATGAAAACAAGACCTTAAAAAACAGAAATGAAAGGGAAGCAAGAGACTGGAGGAGATAAAGAATTCTGGGGAAAACAGTAATAACGTAATAGATGAAATGGAAGAATAAATCAACACCCTCGAAGACACAGAAATCAAGAGAGTCAAAACAGAAAAGAAAAGAGAAGTAAAAAGGAAAAGGAATGAATTCAGAAACACTCCAAGAGCTGTCTGACACCACAAGGAAATGTAAGTTATAGGACTCCCAGACGGTGAGGATAAAGGCCAAGGAGTGTCTGACACCACAAGGAAATGTAAGTTATAGGACTCCCAGACGGTGAGGATAAAGGCCAAGGAATCAAGAAAATACTCAGAGATAATTGAAGAGAATTTCCCAAGTACTGAAGGATGAAAATAGACATAGAAGCGAGGACACTAAACTACCATGATGAAAAAAAGAAATACAACAAAACACGTAATAGTAAAGCTCCCAAGAATCCAAGACAAGGAAAAAATAGATTGACAAGAGGGAAGAAACAAATAACCTATAAAGGAAAACCAATCAGGCTGACATCAGACTTCACTGAGAAAAAAACACTACAAGCAACAAGAGTGGAGGGACACATTCAACAAACTCCAAGACATCAAATACCTACCAAGAATACTTTATGCTGCGAAACCCTCCTTCTTCCTTCCTCTATGAAGATAGAATAAGGACATTTTCAGACAAACAGAAACTCCACAATTTTGTCACAATGAAACCCCCACTGCAAAAATTACAAGAAGTCCTTAACCCAAAGCCAACAGAGGGACGAACAGGAACAGATCAAAACAATAAAAACACACA